ACCAGGTTTGTAAAATATAATGTAATTCATCTATTACATTTTAATCATTACTTTGATTTTTATATGAATAGAGTGTATGTCTGAGTGCGGGAACAGTGAACGTGTTGGACATGATTAGCGCCATTCGTTCACTAAACACCCGTAAACCACTGGAGCCTATGAGCGCGCAGGAGGTGTTTGATTGCAGTGAGTTGACCATGGTCACATTCATAAAATATTATGAAATAAATATTGTAACTTCAAATAAATGAATTATACTATTAGATCCTAATTGGTGTATATGCAATGCAACTGTCACCGCATACGATGTCTACCAGTCAATAGATGAATATATTGGCATGAGACTTGATTTGGAAAGGGATAAACCGTTCACCGGCCAGTGCACCCATACATGCAATAAAACAATAATTGATAAAACAGGCTATGGGTGGGAAAATGCCGGTTATACTTATCCACAGCACCCCTTTGATCGAGAGAAAGTAATGAGTGATTGGCTCTCAAAGGTACCATTCGTTGTGTACACAAAGTCCAGTTCCCATGTATTCCAGACATACGCCGGCGGTATACTAGACAGCGATGAGTGCAATAATACCGGCCCTTTGGATCACAGCCTACTTCTGGTGGGAGAGGGTGTCGACAATGGGACAGACTATTGGATCGCCAGAAATAAGTTTGTATTGAAATTAATTTAGTATTAAAATGTTTAATGAATTTTAATCGACAGTTACGGTGAGGGCTGGGGTGAAAAGGGTTACATACGTCTGGGTAAAGGCAAAAATGTGTGCGGGATCGGTTTAGGATATATTATTGTTGAGTAAATCAGTAATGCATTTCAATATGTAATTAATATTACTAATTGAATACTATTTGATGTATTTCAAACTGATGATTATTTATTTAATTAAATACTTGAAAATTTGCGTATTCAATTTATTAAATTGTTCATTTATAATTTACTAATTTAAAATAATAAAAATTTTGAATAAAATGTGTGCCAAAAGATTTCAAAATAAATTCTTTAATCTAAAATTGTATATAATTTTATATTTTATTAACATCAACTTAATCACATTATCTGAAAATTATTTTAAGCCTTATATTAATAATCTGTGAATTGTATGAATCTATGTATTGTATCAACCATTATGAAATATGTATAAAAATGTGTTTACTGTATAATGTTTTTAAAAAAAATATTTACACTTTTTAAAAAACTTATTTTACCAAAAATTGAATTGACTTACTGTAGTGCAGTAGTTATGTATATTTGATTACTAGTTAATCTTTTCATTTGGAAATTGTTATGGATTTATATTTTATAAGATACTGTATATGGTATTAATAAAATATATACCTTTGATTTTTATACGCACTGTAATAGGTTTTATAAAATAAGTAAAAATTTTTATTTATCATTAAAAATATAATTGAGATCAAAATCTTTAAATATTGCTGGCTAAACAGTTTAATATTGTATAACTTAATATTGTGTAATTGTTTTTGTGTAGTCTAGTAATAGTTACATGATATTTAGAAACTAGCAATAAATATTTATTATATAAAATCAAAAACTATTAAAAACATAAATCATCATTAATGATTTATATTTAGTATTATATTTTGCTCTCTCCAATCTATAAAAACGAAGCAAGTGCAGCTTGATACAACCAAACTAATAAGCATTAATAGTTTACATATGGCCATGATTATAATTAGTTTAACAACTATTATAACTATATTTATTTGTGAAATTTTATAAATTTATTTTGAATGAATGTTATTCTTTTATATAAAAAGTATAATCTTTTTTAATTAAATGTTTACCAAGGTTAATTTGTACTTAATTGTGCAACGATCAATTTCCATTTAAAAACTATAGATTATTTCGATATCCTGTGTACAAATGTACTACAAATAGATCAGATATGACTTCAAAATCTAACTTTCTCAATTAATTTGCAATCGCTGATAACAAATAACCATCAAGTGCTATTCTCAAAATACTATATATTAAAGTGATTAGGGGCATTTTCTTTGTTAATAATACTGAAGTAATGTTAGGTCTTACAAACAGTTTTATAATCCGTAACACTTTATGGGACATTCATTATAAAAACTGTTTTTTCCCACACCAGGAGGTGTGTCACGTGTGTGCCCCTATCTATATAATGTGTTATTATGTGTTGGAAACAGATATTAGACATTTAGTAGGAATTTATTCTACTTAATAAATAAGACTACAAAAGATTTATTTTAATTTAATTAATTATTAGAAATGTTAGATTTATTAAAAAATATTTTTCTCTGTAAATTTAAATAGAAATAATTTTTAGTTTATAAAATATTTTTTAACTGAAAAATAATTTTATAAAACACTTATAACATATCCACCATTTCTAACATTGCTGTAAATTCCATGTTTATAATTAATGATTTAATTTAATTATGCATAAATTCAGTGATAATTAATTTTTAGAGGTTGGGGTTAGAGACATTTGAACGTAAATTTTAAAAATATTTACATGTGAACATTGCGACTAAAAGGTGGGGAGGGGGTCAAGATTTCTCACAAAGATCGAACGTAATATGTGAATCACGCCTAATGGTTGACAAAATTAAAAATTATCGATTACTAAAATTGAAACATTTTGAATAATTTTGAGATTAAGTTTGCTTTAAAAATAATAAACTTTTATTTAATTTTAGATTTAAAAGGTTTAAAAAACATTGATTACAAAACTTTTTTAGCTTAGAGTTTTATTCATAATTTTTATTAGTTTAAATTTATTATTAAAGTCAACAATTTAATAAAATAATCATCTGTTTATGTACATCATTTAGTATTAAATTATTGATATTAACTAGATGCTGATTTACCCAAGTACATACATATATCCCAAACCGACCCCGCACACATTTTTACCTTTAGCCAGACGTATGTAACCCTTTTCACCCCAACCCTTACCGTAACTGTCAATTAAAATTCATTAAACATTTTTTATATTAAATTAATTTCAATACAAACCTATTTCTGGCGATCCAATAGTCGGTCCCATTGTCGACACCCTCTCCCACGAGAAGTAGGCTGTGATCTAAAGGACCGGTAGTATTGCACTCACGGCTGTCTAGTATACCGCCGGCGTATGTCTGGAATACATGGGAACTGGACTTTGTGTACACAACGAATGGTCCGAATGCGAGCATATCACTCAGCTCTGTCTCTCGATCCAAGGGGTCCTGTGGATCAGTCCGACTGGCAATTGTCCACCCATAGCCTGTTTTATCAATTTTTGTTTTATTGCATGTATGGGTGCACTGGCCGGTGAACGGTTTATCCCTTTCCAAGTCAAGCACCATGTCCATATTTTTATTAATTGACTGGTAGACATCGTATGCGCTGACAGTCGCGTTACATATACACCACTCAGGATCTAGTTATAAATTTATTTAATAGTACATTATACTATATATTGCATAAAATATTATTTTTATTAATGTGATCATGGTCAACTCACTGCAATCAAACACCTCCTGTGCGCTCATAGGCTCCAGTGATTTACCGGTTTTTAATGAGCGAATGGCGCTAATCATGTCCAACACGTTCACTGTTCCCGCACTCAGACATACA